AGCTTGGAGGTGGGGAACTTCTGGGAACGGAGCCTTCTCAAAAGTGTTTAATGTGTTGGCTGACGTGGCAAATTACCACGTGCTGGTTTGGGGCAGAGACTCCAACTAAAATCGGGGGCTTTTTCCCACCTCGTGGTGCCCAGGGCCTGGAGGCTTAAAGAGCAGAGGGAGAGGGGACCAGGGTACGGCAGGGCAGGGCAGCAGATGTCCTCAAGCATCCCTGCCCCTCTGGGGATGTTTTCTGTGCCGCTCAAGCAGGTACTTGGCTCCTGGCAGTTCCCCAGAGTTTTAGAAACTGCTCCAATTCCACCTGAGTGTGGCGGATGGTTGATGTTGGGAAGTTTGTTGAGGCATGGTAGTTGGTGAACTGTGGGATTGTGGATGGTGGAGTGTGAGAATGTGGGTGGTATATTTGAATTGTGAGATGGTGGATGGTGGATGGTGTGAAGGTGGATGGTGGATGGCTGGAAGGAAGATGGTGGATGCTGGATGGTGGGAAGGTGGGTGCAGGATGGTGGATACTGGGATAGTGGAGGGTGAATGGTGGATGGTTGGGAGGAGGATGGCAGATGGGGGATTGTGGGAAGAAGAATGGTGGGAAGCTGGATGGTGGAATGTGGGATGGTGGATGGTGTGAAGGTGGATGGTGAATTCTGGGAAGGTGGATGGCAGGCCAGTCTACTTTTTGGTTTGGGTCCGGTACCCAGTGTATTAGAAGACAGCAGAAATAAGTTGTGAGTTGTGACTTTAAAGGATATTTTTTTTCCCCCGTAGACTATCCTCTGATGACTAGATGATGGTTTAGCATTGCAGGGGTGTGCTGGGTTGGTGTGTGTGGTGGGGACTTTTGGTAGCAGGGGAGGGGGCTACAGCGGTGGCCTCTGTGGGAAATTTTGTGAAGCTCCCCCAGCTCCAAATCAAACCTCACGCTTTGCTTAAACCCCATACTTACCTGCTTCAAGATCTTGGTCTTAATTTTGCTAAGTGCTCAATCCTAGTGGTAACCTATGACAGGGAAGTCTGTACGCAAATGATGGGCTGTTTATTTTAGTAGCATTACGTTTACTGTCTTTGTAAATTTAATGGTATCCCTTGGCCTTTTACTTTTGTGGGGAGTAAGAACAGTAGCTGACCTTCCTGACTTACCTTCTCATGGACCCTTCTGTTCATTCCTGATCTCCTTTACAGTTACTGTTTTTTTAAACAGCAGCTTTCTAGTGTCTGTTTTGGTTTTTTGTTTTGTTTTGTTTTGTTTTTTTTCTGGAGAGGTCAAAATTTAATTGCTACTAATGGCAAGTGTAATTTGAAAAGAAAGGCACTAATGCATTGCTCTTCCCTCGTACGTGTTCTTCCAAGAAGGCAGTTTAAGATGTTGTGGAACGCGTATCTATTGAGGACTCTGGTGGTGCTAACAGAATATCAACTACCCTGCTGCTGGCGGAAGACTGTCAAAGTTAACCAACAGACTCTTGGCAAATAAACAGGTGCCCGTAGACACCAGTCTATACTAACAGCGTGTAGAACTTAGGCTAGACGAGGACTTTGGCCATAAATACAATATTTTTGTCTTTTTTGCCTTGATTTTGAACATGGGAAACAAAAGGATATATTACGTTTCCACGAAGCAGCACAGGCCGGTCATGTCTGACTTTAAAATGGCTCTTCAGTTTGCCTTCTTGTCACCTGTGGGTGTCTGCTCTATGTGTAATCTTGTCCCTTCAGAGCGGTGGCTGACAAGTTACAATTCATCTCCTTTTCTAAAGAGCAGCTGAATCATCTTCTCGCTTCAAAAGAAGGAAATTCTCTTGTACCTGTTTTTTCTCCCCTCACAGTGAAAAGCACACAACTGATAATCTCACTGAGTTGTTTTGTTCCGTTTTTTAAACTCCTGCTGTTAAGTTACACCCTGCCTAGATAAATACGTAACAAATATTGTGTGGAGGGTTCAAGTCCAAATAAGCACTGCGCTTTAAACCAGACAAACATCAACACTTGTCTTAAGGAAAAAAAGTCACTGAATCTTATGTTTACAGAGACAGGATGTCAGAGGGGAACAGCAGGTGTAATGTGTCACCAGAAAACTGCAGGAGAGTCGAAATCATCTTCAAAGCCTAAAAGCTAAAGATCTCTCTTGGTTTTGACTGACAAGCTGGATTTTGCTTAATGGAAACTTTCACATAATGGTTGCTATTGTCTGCAGAAGAAAATGGTGATCGGGTAAGAGCATTTCCTTTAGCTTCCTTCTGCCAAAGGTGTTTGAGAAGTGATTTGTTGTCCTCAAAAAGAATGACTGCTGCAGAATTTTCACAAGTGCGCCAGGTTAGCAGCAGGAACTGCTGCCCTTGGGGACGGGAGGTGGGCCTGAGCGATCGAGCGGTTACAGAAGGGGCACTGAGCTTACACAAGCTATAGTCCCGTTTGTAGAACATCCGACCTGCCGGTAGATCCCAGCTGGGAGTTGCTGTGGGTTTGCAGATCACTTTTGTAGCATCTTTATACTCGTAAAACAGTTGCACCAGATTTTATGGTTCAAGAATATGTCTTGGCCACTCTTCAGGTAGTGTAACTCGTGACAGTCTGTGGGAAGAGAGCCGTGCCCTCTCGAGGGTAAGTGGTCTGCAGAGACTATGAGCACACTGGCTACTGTTTCCAGTAGAATTATTCCTTTAGTTGTAATTGTGAAGTTTCGAGCTGTTTAGTCTTAACAGTAACAGGTCTGGTATCCGTGCTCATGTATCGTGCTATTTTCTGTCTGTCAAACCATGTGATAGGGGTTGAACTGCAGATCGCAAACTTTGGTCGCAGTACCTAGGATGCAAAACAGCTAATCCAGGTAACACAGTCATACAGACTCGGCCTCACTGTCAGCTGTGTGAAGACAAAACCAGGCCATCAGTGTAAAAAGCAGAACGCAGCTTGGAGGTGGGGAACTTCTGGGAACGGAGCCTTCTCAAAAGTGTTTAATGTGTTGGCTGACGTGGCAAATTACCACGTGCTGGTTTGGGGCAGAGACTCCAACTAAAATCGGGGGCTTTTTCCCACCTCGTGGTGCCCAGGGCCTGGAGGCTTAAAGAGCAGAGGGAGAGGGGACCAGGGTACGGCAGGGCAGGGCAGCAGATGTCCTCAAGCATCCCTGCCCCTCTGGGGATGTTTTCTGTGCCGCTCAAGCAGGTACTTGGCTCCTGGCAGTTCCCCAGAGTTTTAGAAACTGCTCCAATTCCACCTGACTGTGACCTGACTTCCTGAAGTCGTCTCCAAACTCCTTTTTGTACGTTGATGTGGCTGCACCAGCTGTGGGGAGCGGGAGGGCTCTGCAGCCCCCCGAAGTGCCCTTTGGGGCTGGGTGGGATGCCGGGGGAAGAGCAGTCAGGAGCAGGGATTTGGAGGTGGTTTCCCCTGCTCTGAGTGCTTCTCTTTCAGCCCCTGCACGGGGAAGGAAGCCGCTGGATCTCAGCCTCTGGAGGAACATGTTCCTCTTCTCTGCCCCAAAAGGGCGTTTGTGCCCACCCTTTTCCCAGCTCTTCAGTGCCGGGGGTGCTCAATCAAACGCTTTCTCCAGCTGCGTGTTCCCCATTCAGCTCCTTCCTGCCCAACTCAGCTTTAACCGCTGCCAGCCACATGGCGCTGCGCGTGGGATTTTAACCTTTGGCAGCCACTGCAATGTTTGCTCTGTGTGTTGGTCCTGGCTGCTTGCAAGGGGACTCTCGGGGTGAAGCGCTAAGGCTTGGACAATAGGGT